AAATTCTGACACTAAAAAGTTAATAAACAAAACAAACAAAAAACCAGAATAAGAGAAAGCTGATGTTTCCCAGAGGCGAGACGGGGGTGAGCAAAAGGATGAAAGGGAGTGGAACATACAGGCATACAAGGCATAGTTTGGAAATTTAACAAGCTTCTCTTTGACAAAAACATCAAAAAAAAAAAAAGTGAAAATTAAAATACAAATGATTTGAAGGACATTATCGACCAATATGATCTAGTTGATACTGAATACCACACCTAATAAATACACGAGACATTAGCCTATACTACAGATTGGTTACTAAAACATATCTTAATAAATATTGAAGGCTTGAAGTCATCCAGGTTATATCATCTGACCTCAGTGGTATTTAATTAGAAATTAATAGATACTTGATAATAAGATATCTGGAAAAAATCCCTAAGTAACTTGGAAATAATCAATATACCTCTTATAAACCATGGAATTAAAAAAATCTTTAATTTTTTAAATGTCATAATTTATGTCATACTAGAAATGATATCCTTTGCAAATACTTGAACTTAGAATAAAAAATTTAGACATTATCTTGGAAATATGTAAGGGGGTACCTAGCTTTTCAAAATGTTCTTAGAGGGTGAAGTGTGAAATCCACTGCTGAAGCTCGTGGGAGATACTTAAGGAACAATTCTTGCTATCAGAGACCACAACAGTGAAGGGTAGATTGGAGAAAAGCGTGATGAGTATAGAAGGGGTTGTGGGTCCTATCTTTCTACTTCATTGCCAGGTTTGTGTCTTGAATAGGTACAGGATCCTGAAGGGGCCAAGCATACACACACACACACACACACACACACACACACACACACACTCCCAAGTAATTTTAGTCAGGAGGGGCCCTTGGCTTGTCTCCCAGAATGATGCAAGAATAGCAGAAACATTCCTCTTCTTCTAAGAGTGTCTGGCGGTCGTGGAAATCTCACCTGCCCTAACAGGACTTTGTATCAGCAACAAGGGATAGCTCAGGGGACATCTGTGCATTGATGGCTAAGTTCAAACAAAAAAATGATGTCACCATGGATGCCAATATAGATAAATGACATCAACTATCAGTTGAACTATTTTGATGCCATCTGAGATAAAAGAGGAACAATGCTCAAATATTTGAAAGAAATAGTTTCTTTCTCCTGGTAGAAAAATAATCATATGTACTCACTGAACTTTTACTATGTGTCAGGCACTGTAAGAATTCCACACATACTGACTTAATTCTCACAACTACTTCATGCGATAGATATTGTTATAATTCCATTTTTAGAGAAAGCAACAATTTATCAAGAGGGATGTAATGTTCCCAAGCTTATATCATTTGTAAGCAGAGAAGATGGAATAGAAACTTGAAGAAAAAATTGAGCCTTATTTTGAAATAATAAATTGAATATAGCTGTGTTGTGGAGTTATGTGTGCATAATCCATGACCTAACAAATATATATACATACATAAAAATTTTACTGATTGTCCCAGGCTGATATGGCTTAGGTAGCACCTCCTCAGTATTTTGTTTTTCATAGCTGCTTCTCCTATTCATGAGTCAAGCTGACTCCCAACATCAAACCACAATTTATAACTGCCAAATCATATCACCTCAAAAGAAGTTACTCTGAAGGTCCAGCTTCTCTGACAAGCCATGATGTAGCAGAAAAAGGAAGATGATTATAACCCCCCCACACACCCAACATGCAAGCACAAATCAGTAACAGAAAAAATAAAACAGAAAAGCTTCAACTCCATTTTCCTATACAGAGTGGTAGAAATAACATTCTGAAAGGACTAAGAAAATAGGAAATTCCTTTCATGTCACTGTACCCCCTCCCTTATGAGCCAAGATCACATGTATATTGAAAAATACCGGGAGAAACAACAGGAGTGGTTTTATTTTTATAATAATTTTATCATATATCCATTCTGCCATGCAGAAACCATTATGGTTTTTGGTCTCATAAAATGTGTGAATGACATTTTTATATAAATAATTCAGAGAAACTCTTAAGGAATAGACTTTGTCCTGCTTTTGTTCTTGGGGAACACAGAGGTAACCTTACATAGAATAAACGGTTTTAATGTGTTTGTTATAATGCCATTCTCTAATAGCACTTTACGTAAGTAACACTCAAGCATGGCAACATAATAGCCCTGAGAAATACACAATTCAAACTCTGTGGGAAGCATTATTTTATGAAGTGAATAGACAAATACACTATAAGTACACTAGTCATAGTAGGAAGGCATTTTTGTCTTGAAGCTAGTTCATCCTATTCTCAATACCTATGCACTGTGAAAGTAATATTGTTATGAAACTATAAAAGTTGAAATATATGTCAGAAGCCCCTTAAGAAAAACAACTTATTGGCAATGAAGTTCACTGAGCGGCACATACACAGAATCTATAGCAACTGATTTTGATTTTGCAGAAAGGTTGGTATTCTTGTGCAAAAGGAGGCTGGATAAAACAATGGTGGGATAAATTCTTAACGAAAAAAATAAAAATTCAGTCTTTCATAGGTTTGTCATGATGCATAAAATTCAATGAAATTTTCATTGCTTCTAGGTAAGTAAACATTCTCACTTAGTCTGATTATTTCTTTGTCTAGATTTACGGTTTTTATAGGCTTTACTACATGTAAAATAAAGTGACAATGTCTCTCTTGACTTCAGCTACAAGAACAGATATAGGAAACCATTATCTTTTTCTTAATTTTTTTCCCCCTAGGTAGGAGCCATAAGCCTCAAAACACATTAAAATGATAAGAAATATGTTAAAATTACTTTAACCTGAAGTTAAGATGAGATATAAGCAAGAGAGACACTGAAAAATAATGAGGCAATTAGGGAGTAGTGCCAAATCATTAGGTTGGAAGATTCACTGAGATAACTTTTAATATATATATTTTTTGGTTCAGGTTTTCTCCACTCACATGATTACAGAGTTAAAGCCCAGAAATTGAAGAAATCTCTCATATTTATGTCTTTCAAATGGGTTAGCAGCACTATGAATTAGCTTATGACTTTTTTTCCCTCAATTTTATAAAGGCTGCTTTTACCTGGTAAGGTGTTATGTGATCCACTGACTGCAGGCTCCCCAGCCTGGGTCATTGGCATTTAACTTGACACAGAACACAACGGAAAGAGTCCTTCCTGTTCTAGCAGGATGTCACTTTCTAAATAAGGAAAGTATTAAGACATTTACTGAATAGTTATTGCATCATATGTTCTGTTCCAACACTCTGCAGGTATGAACTTGGGCAGACAACTAAGGCAGAGAGAAATACAATAACTTTTCCAAGACAATGAGCTTGGATTCAAATCTAGGTAGTTTGGCTCCAAAGCCCAAGCACTCCTAAACTATACTTTTTCTTCCCTCCACTGTTAGTCACAACACAGTATGAATAACTACTGATGGAGCTGAATGCATGTACAGTGCCTCTTAAAGAGAAACCAGATATGAATTTGTTTGCATATATGTAAAATATCACAGAAATACACATAGAAATTGACAATATTGGATGTCTCTGGGGTTGGGACTTGAATAAATGAAGGATAATGGTACAAGGAGAGTTTTCCATGTATATTCTTCTAGAAGGTTTGAATTTAGAAATACCTAGATGCATTATTTTTACAAAAATGGATAAATAAATAAATACAACTTAAAAATTATAAGATTCAGTAGGTTCTTTCTTCTCAACAAGCAACTATATATCCATCATTAAAAAGAAAAGTTGAAGACATTCTTGGGGAATTCAACACGTTTTATTTTGCCAGGCAAATGATTTTTCAATATCCAATTAAATATTAATGTACTAATTACATTTAATTTATTTTCTCACAGAGTGAACATTCACCGTAATGACAGTTTCATCATGCTAAAATCTATCCACAAACCTACACTTTGGGAAAAAAGTGCATTCCTAAGAAATTTTATGTACAATATAAATGGAAAATGTATTAAGTCATCGAAATGTCAAACTACACAAAATAAAACTAATTAACCACCAATATTCAATATATGTTGACATTATTTTGGAGAAAGAAAATTTTCTTTACATATGGCAGTTATGTTGAAGAAGAATTTCTATAATTTTAAAACAAAAGTAATAAAAGTATATACAACTGAACAATGCTCTAAGGAGAAGGTATTAAATAGCACAAATAAAATTACAAAACTAAACACCCTTATTGTCTATCAATTTGTGTTTACATGAAGCAAAGGGACCTGTGTAGTTTACCTATCCTCTGACTCTAAAACAATTTTACTTTAAACTCTATACATAGAACATATTGGCCATAAACAATAAAGATGGTTTTGGCCTTCCATTGACAAACATTTCTATTTGGGCACATAGCAAGCAAAATATTTATATAATAAACCGCTTTAGAGAATAATTCGGAATCATATACATTTGGAAGATAGCTTTTATTTATTAGCTTATTTTTGAATGAACATTATTTATGTTGTATATTTTAACTGCTATGTTTGCCCCCACTGAGGTTGCCTCTTATAATATCATAATTTATTACCACTTAAATAGTAAGTCATATTCTTAGATTCTGATCAATGGTTACATTCATTTTGACAATGATTTTAGTTCTTGAAGTTTTTATGCTATGGTGCTTAAAAAGGTAATAAGTCTACCTTACCTTCTTTGTGGACTGTTAACTACAAATAAAATTTTGTACTAGATTTTTGAATAGGCCTATGATGCAATTCCTATTTGTGCTGGGAAACAAGAAAATTTCTTTAAAAGCAAATACAATTCAAAGGCAAAAGTTGTGTTTCAAAAGGAAACAACAGTATAAAGAATTTTTTCAAATTTCTCCCATCTAATTGCTATTTGGAACAAAAGGTTCAATAATAAATTTTTCTAATGAAAATGACCCAAACATACAATTAGAAGGAAATTATTTTCTTCATTACAAAACTTAACACATTTGTATTTATAACCAGTGAACAGAACTTTCAAAAGAAAGTATGTCTATTTTTGTTCATATTCAAATTTTTTTCAGTTCTCCTCAAAATGAGCACCTCGCCAGCGCACACTAAAGATCATCACTAAAGAACCGGTGACTTAAAAATCATATGATGTCTGAGGTTGGTAAACCAAAAAAAGTGAGAGTTAATTATTAAAATTAATCACTGATGGTAAAAACTAGTCACATTTTTTTATAAATAGCTTTTCATAAAGTTGCATTTCTTACTTTATTTTCCCCATTTTGATAGTTTTACCTCTCATATACAAGTTTGATATTTCATCTTTTTCTTTTTATATTGTTTACTTTACCACACAGACTAGAAAATTAGAACAAAAACAGTAATTAAACACTGTAAGATTATATTCTCTGATTCTATAATAACTTAAATAACTTCCAAAAAAAGTGCTTTTGTTTGGAAGATGATAGCATAAGATTATAAACTTAAATGCTTCACTGACATAACTCTAATCAAAAATGTTTACGGTGAAGGTCATTCATTTTATCTTCTTAAAACTAGGAAACAAAGACCAATAACAGATACCAGCAACTGACCATTTTTATAATAAAAAAAAATTAATGTATTTCACTGGAAACATATAAGCTGTTCATTTTTCTGTATGAATCACTCATGTTTTGTACAACTTTTAGATGCACTCTTCCTTGACTTGTACCTAGTCTACATTTCTTTTGACGACTACTCTATCACATATATTTATACAACTTTTACAATGTAAAAGTTGTGAACTTGGCATTTGTTTCCATATATAAAATCACTGACAATTCCAAATCTAAACCCCTAAGGCAAGGAAGGAAGATCACAGGGTTTATGGCCATCATTCAATTAAGGGATGTAAGAATTTTAGTTTTATAGCCGCCATATTGATTTGAAGAAAAAGGAAATAAAGATATAAATAAAATCTGGGTTAAGTTAAATATTTATATGCACCATGAGGACCATGACATGTCTAGTGCTAGTCAATATCATACAAGAAAATGCATGCTCATTTCAGTTCATGTAATATTCACTTTAGGAGTGAGTTACACCTTTCTCAGGAATTTCTCGTGGGTAAAGCACAAAGTTCTTTGCTCAAAATTTGAGCATTGAAGACAGACCATTCTTTACTGGAAGCATAAGCCCCAAGTAAGAGAACATTATGACTCTGGCAACTGATTCCTCCTGTTTCTACTTTTCCGGCTATTGATGAGAGCCTTTAACTTGCCGTAGTCCCCTCTTATTTTCTGGGATTCTTCTTGTTGATGTTGCTGTCGAGTGTCTTTGCAGTACTGATTAATCATCTGCATTTCTGAGTGGCTGAATGCCCCCATGATGTCCTTTGGGTGGAAGGGTAAAGCCCTCACAGAGCTGGCCCAGGTCCAAGGGGACCATTTTTCTGTCACGACAGCCACCATTTCAGAATCTAAAACTTTAAAGTTGATCTTGGCTATGGTCTGCTTGAAGCTATTCTCTGTTGCAATGCAGTGATACAGTCCTTGGTCAGAATCTTGAACGGAGCGGATTAGAAGTCCTTGTGAAGTGGCTATGATTCGTTCATTCAGCTTGACCTAAAAGAGAGACTCATCAAAGATCCCAAACCCCACTCTATGTTTTCTAAAAAGATATGAGCAACATATACAGAGTATCTCTGGACTTTCAAATTTGGGGAAAGCATCAAGTACTTATTAGCTTCCTTCTTAGTAAACACAAATGTTTGGTCAGTTCGGTTGTCTCTTTTGCACAAGAGATTTTGTTTCAGGAGCACTGAAGCTATTAAAGGGAGGGTGAAGTTATCACCCATATTACCAAAAATAGCTTCAAGTTCATTACCTTTGGACAGAAGTAGTTTCGGTATATATAAGCACAGAATTTTGGTTGCATTTGGAGTGTGAATCACAGTCAACTATAAAATAAAATTCACAGAATAATTTAAAATATCTCTTTTGTCCTGGAGTTCTTGCCTTTAATTGCAACAAAAATACTCTCTTATTAGTAGAATCATGAAGCCACAGTTAAATGGTTGAATTTTACCATTTTTCAATGATGAATTTTCTCCTAACTAAAAGTGCAAACAACTTATTACTTTACTGAGTAGTAAGACAACCCGAAAAAAAATTATAGAAGCAGAGGCAGAGTTTTGAACACTGTCAAGGGTTTTTTCCAATTATCCCAAATTAAAGAATGACTGAAAATAAGCTGAAATGCCATCATCTTCTAAGTCTAAATGGTTTTACTTTCCAAGGAAAGGTAATAAAAAACTATGAGGTTAATATTTAATTACTTTACAAGCTTATCTTAGAAAAACTCTCATGTGCTAGATATTAGTTAAATGTATGCAATCTTTCTTTCTTAAAGTTCCAGCTATAGTATTGTCAATGAACAGACTAAAAAGCTAAGTGGTAAGAAGTTCCTTGATATGGGGACTTGGGATTGCTCTTTCACTGGGGTAGGGGGCGGGAATGAATCCAAATCAAAATAAAGGAATGTTTTTCTAAATGGTTAATTTCTGTGTAAATATGTATTTAATTATTAATGAAATAAAAATCAAAGATAGATTATTTTAGTTAAAAAGTAATGCCCTCCTCCAGAAAAAAGCACAAAAAGGCAAAGTATAATATTGAAACAAGATAATAGATCTAGAAAAGGGAGATCAGAAGAAGGGACTGAAATGTATAAAGCAAAGTTTTGACGTTAATTTAATTTTTAAAGTTTAAAGGTGTCTCAAAAATAGTTTCCATCATGTAGAAATGCACTCAGAAACAAAAGGAAAGGAAGACTTTTCTACGTGTGCAAAATTAGGAAAAAATTTGGAGGCCAATTTTATAAATCTATATAACATGTTTTTGACACTGAAATTTCATTTCTAGGAATTCATACAGAAGATATACTCACAAGTGTGCAGATGTTCATTTACATGATGTTTTTTATAAGAAGAAAAATAATAACCTTAAGTAGTAAATAGCTTTATATATTCATATAGTGGAACAGTATGTAGCCAAGACAAGTAAGTTAGCTCCAAATGTACTGATATTAAAGTGTGTGTGTGTGTGTATACATCAGAGAGAAACAGAGAGAGAAAGACAAAAATATGAACATGATGGGGAATATTTGGAGGAATACATTATGACTGAATATATAATTCTTAGTAGCTTCATATTCTAGAAGTATGAATAAATATTGAAGTGGAGGTAAGGAGATCTTTCAGTTTTCACTTTATGCTATTCAATACGAACTACTTACAATTTTTTCCATGAGCTTTTATGGCTTGTCTTCAATATTTATATATCATTAATATAAGACATAAGCATGTGTTTGCCTAAACTACTGATAACAAATCAAGATAAATTTAATAATATAGTAACAATTTGTTCAACTAAATTAAGAATGAGTGGAATTGTGCTCTGTAATTCTGGATATAATAGATTTGCATAATTATAGTTAATTTTTTCATAGTCTTATAGCACTCTTATGCTATAGAAAAAAGCAAGATAGTAATAATGGAGTCTATATTCTTGAGCATTCTGAAATAAAACATTAGAAATATCACAAAGGAGATTCAGTCATTAAATCTATAACTCACTCCATTTTTAATTTAATTTATTAATTTCTGTGGCATGTATTCAAGCTTGCATGTATTCATTTTCTTTAATTTAAATAGAAATTTTTTTCACTTATTGCATGTTATTCTATTTTAAGTTTTTACTGAGTTAAAGAAAAATATTTTATTCATGTTAGGTAATCCCTATTTGAGTTTTAGATTTTCAATTCACATATGAACACACAGAACTTCTCAGGAAGGACCGTTTATGACCCTGTGATATGCTCTGGCCTAAGAATTTCATTTCTGTGTGGTAATCATCATCGCACAGTATGACTTCTACTCTAGGTTACTTAGTAAGGCAAGTAGTATTACCATTTACATCCATTCAAAAGAATTTAAAATTAATTAGACTGTAGAAATTTCAAGGTCTCTTTGATGACAGACTTTTGTGGCAAAGAAAAGAGATCTTAAATAAACAATTTTTTTATTAATAAAAATGTTCAAAAAGATTGATTAGTATCATAGAATTATGGGGCAAGAAGGAACCCCAGAGTTCATCTAGCTCCTCTCACCTCCAGATGGTTAAATCGCTTATGCAAGTGGACATCAGCCTATGGTTTACTAGTCTGGTGACAGGGGACACACAATTTCCTAAACAGCTCATATTGTCTTCGGACAGGCAGGTCTGAGTTGTAAAGTATTTTCTCATATGGAGCCAACATGTATTTCAGTAACTTTGATGCAAGTGTCTGTGTTCTATAGCTTGGGATTGTATCCAATCTGAATATCTCCAATTAACTTAATACTTAGTACCTAAACTACCCACAACAGAAGGATACACCCAAATGCAGAAGGCTCCATTTTCCCCTTCACTCTATCAGATTTTATGACACTGCTAGTAGCATTACATTTTAGACTAACCTAAGGCTTTATATACACATATATATTTTTCTTCTTCTTCCTCTCATTTGTCAGTACAACATGAGATCAATATTACGGAGCTCATTATTTATAATATTTCACCCTAAGCCGTTTTACAATGCTTCCTTTTAAAACAGCTCTTTCCGATCAGTGAAAGGTTAATGTCAGTGTCCTTTTCTTTGAAAAATTGTTTTTCCACATAACTAAATAAAGGCAACGGTCCCATAAACAATGATTCCCTATATTACCAAACCAAAACCCTAGAGTCGTGGATAATAAAGCAAAGGAAACAGATTACCACATAGCAGAAAAATGCTCCTTACCATAAAAGTTATGGCTTAGTGTAATTTCTTACTGAGGAAAAACTGAACATTTTTTAAAGCCCCCTTTTATCTTGTGAATCACACAAAGGTGCTGCTGTGTGAGAACTTGGCGTCTGGTTATGCACACATCTTGTTTCTTTTACGAATGCTTCCTCATATCAATTCCCCTGTCTCGAGTGTCCAAGCTCTTGTTTCAATCACCATATTCTAGAGGTGAACAGGCAGCAAGGATTTCTAATTAATTCATCATCTCTGCAGACAAAGGATTTTAAAGGCAGTGGCACCTGTCATCTCAAAGACATAAAAGGATGGTCATATGCCGTTTTTTTTTTTCCGTTTGATCTGAACCTCACCGAGGGATGGTAATCGAATGTCTTTCCAAAGCCCTGACTGATTGCTGCTGTGGTGTGTTACTCACCTCTTTCCTCCTGTCTTTGTCTTTCTGTAACAGCCATTTGATCGATGCCTGTGGAGACTTCGGGGCACACTCAAGGAAAGTGGTGTTATTTTTTACTCCATACTGAACAATTTCAGCTGCATTTCTATATGCTGAAAAGCAAAAATGAGAGCGAGAAGAGAATTCAGAACATATACTCCTATATGTTTATTGCTCTATAAAATTGTCACTACCTATAAAGTATCCAAAAGGCAATCTTTAATCATTTAACAAGCAGACTATTACACATCGTTTACCTGTTGTGTTTAACCTAAAGGGAAGGAGAGAAAGACATAAGGGAACCGATTTTTATTCAAGAAGTACTGTAAACCAAGGAATGTCCTTAATATCACTTTGAACACTTAATTATTTCAATATCCTTATGAGTTAGGTTTTCTCAGTGTTTCAGAGTTGAGCACACTGATGCTGTGAATTATTAGCAAACACATCCTACTTGAAGAGTTAGTACGTGTCAGGCATTATTAAAGCCAGGTTCATCCATACTCAGTGGAATATAGATGGAATCCAGAAGCATCAGGAAAAGTCAGAAAGCCAAGTGTGGCTGGAGTGGGAAGTTGTGGTTGAGAACACAGTCTTTGCAATCAGAGGTACTGGAGGTAAAATTCTGATTTCACCAAGACTGACTGTGTAGCCTTCAACAACTTACTTGACCCTTCTGTGTCTTAGTTTTACTTGGCTCTAAAACATGGATTATGTTTTCATATAGGTTCTGCACTGAAATTCTTTTTTTTTTTTTTTTAAGATTTTTATTTATTTATTTGTCAGAGACAGAGGGAGAGAGAGCGAGCGAGCACAGGCAGACAGAGGCAGAGGGAGAAGCAGGCTCCCTGCCGAGCAAGGAGCCCGATGTGGGACTCGATCCCAGGACGCTGGGATCATGACCTGAGCCGAAGGCAGCCGCTTAACCAACTGAGCCACCCAGGCGTCCCTGCACTGAAATACTTAATTCAGGAAGAGCATATAGTAAAATCATGTGGTAGCTTAGACATGAACAGCATCTTCATTCATAAAATGGTGATAATAACAGACCTTACTTTGGCATAGTGTCTTGAGCATTAATTGTGACAATCCATAAAAAAAGCACTTAACTCAGATTCTGACACAATGCCAACATCCATGTTTGTTCATCATTAACCCCACTGACAGTTCTACCACTGTAACTATTATTAGAACTGGCACACATATTCATAAAATACTCAGTAAATAGAGAAATGGTAACTTGGATTTATTCCCTCAATTAGATGTATAGAACCACTAAGCAAAACATGTCAGAATTTTCTTCTTATAGCTCATGTAGTTAGTAATATCAGTCTTTACTAAAGAAAGGCCCAGACTCAAAAATATTAGCAGTAGGAGTTTTGGTGTTAATTGTTAGCAACAGTGGGTCTATGGCACCTTGGTGAGCCAAGAGAGTTGCCTGAAGAAATTTCCCTGGTGGGGTTCAGGTGGAGGGGAGAAGGTTAGTGGGGAAAGTATAATACCATGGGATCTTCATGTCAGGATGGGAAGAAATGGGTTAGAGTGATCATAAGACACAGGCAGGATTGTCAGAAGTATTGGAATGGTTATAAATTATAAAACCAAGGCACTGGTACACCTATATTCAGAGCAGGGTTATTTACAATAGTCCAAAGTGGAAGCAATCCAAGTGTCTAGTGATAAATGAATAAACAAAATGTGATCTATATATACAAAAAATATTTTTTTTCCATTTTCAACAGAAAAGAAATCCTGACACATGTTACAACATGAATGAACCCCAAAGAAAAAGTGAAATAAGCAGTTACAAAAGGTTAAATATTGTGTGATTCTGCTTATAAGAGGTATTTATAAGAGTCAAATTCATAAAGATGGAAAGTAGAATGGTGGTTTCCAGAGGCTGGTGAAGAGGGAAGTTCACATTTAATGGGTATAGAGTTTCACTTGGGAAGGATGAAAAAGTTCTAGAGATGGATATGGTGCTGGTTGCACAACATTGTGAATGTATTTAATGATACAGAACTGTACACCTTAAAATGGTAAATTTAAAAAAAAATTTTAAATTTTCATTTCAATTTTAAAAAAAGCAACTTTTTTCTTAAGAGAGAAGACAATAGCTTTGTTTCTTCAGAAAAAAAAATAATAGCTTGGAAAATCTGTAACTGATATCTATGTGAAATTCCTAACCAACTAACACACCCAAGGTCTCTGTATTCACGGACCTCTGTTTCTCCTACTATACATACAAATACGTTTAATTTTTAATTTCCATATGATCACCAAGAATCTTCATAATCTTTCCTTAAAACAGAAGAAGTGAATTATAATGAGGTCTCCCTCCCTGAAATGTGACCTGGAGCACTGACTCTTTACCAAGTTTGACCCTTGCTCAGTTTTAATACCTTTTAGATTAAATCCTCTGCACTGAGTCAATGGATTTCCATGTCTCACATCTTGTCTTCGGCTCCTCCTATAAGTGCAAAGACATATATATAAAACTGACTTAGAATTAACATTGCCAATTACACCACATTTAAAAGATTGCATTTTTAATTTCACAGTTTTTTAATTGCCCAAGCTTTCATAAGGAAAAAAGAGGTCTGCTTATCTGGCACCACTATCTGACATTTCTTATTCACCACCTTCATGATAGGATTGGTACTTCACCTTGTTTTCATTCTGAATTAATTTGGTCCCTCCCTATTATTGGTGATAGAATGGCTATGAAATCCTTATTATGTGCATTTTCTGGGTAAATGCTAGATTCCAAATGAATAGTGTAAATTTTAGTTTAGAGACATTCATCAAAAATTTTCCAAGATGAAAAGCTCGAGTATAAACTCACTGGCATCTTCTTTCTTATAATTTTGTTTTTAAATAAACATGGCTTTCTTACAAAAGTCAACATTTCCTAACACTTTCCTGTTATATTAAAACTTTTCTGAAACAGGTGATTGAGAGATAGAAAATAGACATTTAATACACAGTTAAGCAAAATTGTTCATTTACTAGAATAAGAATTTTCCTTCAACTTTTTACTTTGAAAAACATCAAGCCTACAGAGGAGTAAATGTATGAGTACACTAAATACTAACATACTTAGATTTGTGAATTGTTATATTTTGCCACATTTATTTTTTCTCTCACATGCAAGTTTTTTTTTTTTTTTAATATTTTACTTACTTATTGGACGGAAAGAGAGAGATCACAAGTAGGCAGAGAGGCAGGCAGAGAGAAGGAAGCAGGTTCCCTGCTGAGCAGAGAGCCTGATGTGGGGCTCGATCCCAGGACCCTGAGATCATGACCTGAGCCGAAGGCAAAGAACTTAACCCATTGAGCCACCGAGGCACCCCTCACATGCAAGTTTGATGTAGTATATATACTTTATGCACATATATGAAAATCTTTAGAAAATAAATTGCAGACATAATAATGCTTCATTCAATACTTCAGCATGAATCTTCTAATTTCCCTACATAACAACAGTATCATTATCATGCTAAATATATGAATATTCCATAATATCATACAATACATATTTTATGTTAAAATTTCCTTAATTGTCTTCCAAACATCCATTATGGATTTTTTAAAGTTTAGTTAGGGGGCGCCTGGGTGGCTGATTAAGCGTCTGCATTCAGCTCAGGTCCTGATCCCAGGGTCCTGGGATTGCGCCCCACATCGGGCTCCAAGCTCGGCAGGAAGTCTGCTTCTCCCTCTCCCATTCCCTCTGCTTGTGTTCCCTCTCTCTTCTGTGTCTCTCTCTGTCAGATAAATAAATAAAATCTTAAAAAAAAAAAAAAAAGTTTAGTGAGGACCAAAGTTCACTCATTGCATTTTAGTTATTATGTATCATTGTTTAAGCATTTCAAAATTTAGTTACATTCTTTATGTTGGCCATTATTTAAATCAATGTTTTAAATTATTTGAATACTAATTAATTTCCTGAGTCTTAGATTCAAAATATTCATATTCAAAATACGTATTTTTGTATATATAATATATATATACATTTTGTATATACTATATATATATTGTATTGAATATACAATTGAAACTAATACATATATTCGTTTCACTGTGTGATACAATTGAAACTAATACATTTATTAGTTTCAATATTATTTCAATATTATTAGTGATAATAATATATGTATTAGTTTCAATTGTATATCACACAGTGAAACGAATCAAAATAAAGCAACTGAAATTCTCTTAGCAATAAATCATGGATATGAAGATCGTTATAAGAGAGAAAAAGTGAGGGGCACCTGGATGGCTCAGTCATTAAGCGTCTGCCTTCAGTTCAGGTCATGATCCCAGAGTCCTGGGATCGAGCTCCGCATTGGGCTCCCTGATCAGCCGGAAGCCTGCTTCTCCCTCTCCCACTTCCCCCACTTCTGTTCCCTCTCTTGCTATGTCTCTCTCTGTCAAATAAATAAATAAAATCTTTTAAAAAAAAAGAGAGAGAGCGAGAGAAAGTGAGCTCTCTGGGTGGATGAGTTGGTTGAGGGTCTGACCCTTGGTTTTAGCTCAGGTCACAGTGCCTAGTGGTGAGATCAATCCCTGTGGCAGGCTCCACACACAGTGCAGAGTCTATTTCAAATTCTCTCTCCCTCTCCCCCCAACCCCTGAATGTGCTTTCTTTCTCTAAATAAATAAATAAAAGTCTTTAATGAGAGGAAGAGAAAGAGAGAAAAGGAAAAGATCTACTCTTTAAATATTGGGAATATAGGGATACATTGATTGTTTACTACCAAGGCTTTGAAGTATATATAAATGAGCATATTACTTAATTGGATCATCTGTTAAGTCTCAACATTTTTACCCTTAAAGATAAATTATAACATTCAGTGAGAAGAGCAGAAATATTAAAATATCACAAGGATTATTAAATTCACAAAGTGAAACTAATCTCAAAGTCATCAATAGTGAAAAAGATCATTTTAAGGTTACAACAAATAATAGTTTGTGTATTCAATGGTTCATGTAAATCTCTCTATGGAAATACAGGTATATAATTTTGTGTCTATATATATATTTAAAGATTTAAATATATATATATTTAAAGATTTTATCTATTTATTTGAGGGAGAAAGAGAGAGCACACCTGCACAAATGGGGGAGGGGCAGAGGGAGAGGGAGAAGCCGACTCCCTGCTGAGCAGGGAGCCTGACATGGGCCTCAATCCCTGCTCACAACCTAAGCCGAAGGCAGATGCTTAACTGACTGAGACACCCAGGTGCCCCTCAATTTTGTATTTCTAATACAACAACACACACATAAACTAGTGGAAGTCACTCTTGTCTCAGGAAATACAATTAATGCTTTACTCTAGAATAGCTCCTAAATCCCTATATCAGCTTTTCACCGCATTGCATTCGCTATGTTTCCAAGCCACGGCATTATTTACTACCAATCAACTTGTGAGTACACGATATTATATGAGCACCATGTGAGAGTTCTTATGGCTGAACTCGTCATTTTCAGCCATCTAGAGAAGCACTATCACTCACAATAGTTAAATTGATTGTCCTGTGACCAGTACTATGTTATGGTTTGCATAGCTGGGGAACCCAAATTTATGGGATCACATAGCTTCCAGACAGTCTGTACAGAAAAAAATCATTATGGCTTGGCCTAAACGATGAGATCAGCAAGACAGCTATCTGACATTTTTTATATTTGTAGAATCCCTTTAGGATAGTCATATAGCATTGCAAAAGCTGGTAGGCAGAGTAATATTATATGTGAATGTAGGCTTGGGATTTAGCTCAAGTTACCAATGTTTTCTTCTTTATAGTATAATCCTTCAGATAAACAATGAAATCATTTTGTTCTTGTATGTAAAACAGATATTTACTTGAAGATTGAACTGATTATCCTGTCTTAGAATAAAATTTCTAAGAGCATGTCTGAATCCAAAATAAATAACATTTGAGATTAAATTGCAATATTTGGTACAAATGCACAAATATTTATGATACTTGAGAATGAAAAAGAAAATTGCTTGTATTATTTACCATAAGCAAACTTGAAAAAAAGAGAAACTACAGAGCCAATGATATTTAACAATTTTATTATATCAAAATATATACTCCATAGATTTCCAAGTATCATTGTAATTCTTATACCATACAAAGGACACCTTTTTGATTTTCATTCCTATGAACTCCTCCACATAATCTTTGTGTTCCAGATAGGTAGACAGCACAATCGAAATAAAATGGGTAAGTTAACACTATTAAAGAAAATTAGTATGGAAAATATAAGTGATCATTTTTATTATTATCATATAATCACTTAAAAATATTATATATGAGGGGCGCCTGGGTGGCTCAGTGGGTTAAAGCCTCTGCTTTCGGCTCAGGTCATGATCTCAGGGTCCTGGCATTGATCCCCACATCGGGCTCTCTGCTCAGCAGGGAGCCTGCTTCCCCCCTCTCTCTCTGCCTGCCTCTCTGTCTACTTGTGATCTCTGTCTGTCAAATAAATAAATAAAGTCTTAAAAAATATATTATATATGAGAATTTAGGGAATAGTTAATTCAGCAAACATGTTTTGCATTCACTATATGTTTAAGTTTTAAAATAATTTTGAGCAGTTAAACAGTATAGATACTTGTAATGAAATTTTCATTGTGCTAATCAAAGATGGGTTTGAGTAGGCCAAGGAATAAGATAGGTTATAGAAAGATAGAAAGATAGAATGATAGAGATTTTTCAGCTTTTAATTATAGAATTAAGACACTGCTAGAGATTCTGAAAGCTCTTTAAAATTCCCTCTTGCTTATACTTTATTAAATTGAGCAATAATTGACATATAACATTATATTAGTTTCAGGTGTACACCCATTCATGTTGTATATCTGAAACTAATATAATGTTATATGTCAATTATTGCTCAATTTTAAAAAGTGTACATACATATATATATATATATATATGATTGATATATAGTAAAATGACCACAATAAGTCTAGATATCATCTGTTCTCATAGGTAGTCACAAAATTCTTTTCCTTGCGGTGAGTACTTGTAAGATGTACTCTATTATCGACTTTCAAACAGGCAATACGGTATTATTAACTATAGTTACCATGCTGTACATTATATCTCCATGCTTATTTTATAACTGGAAGTTTGTGCCTTTTGACCCCCTTTTCTCATTTTTCCTACCCCTTACCCCATCTTTGAGAACCACTAATCTGTTCTCTATCTCCATGAGCTTGGTTTTTTGTTATTTTCAAAATTCCATATATAAGTGAGATCATACACTATATGTCTTTCTCTGAATTATTTCACTTACCACATGGCCTCAAGGTCCATCCATTTCACAAATGGCAAGACTGCATTCTGTTTTATGGCAAAGTAGTATTCTTGTGTGTGTGTGTATGTTTATATCTTTACTCATTCATCTGTTGAAGGACACTTAGGTTGTTTCCATGTCTTGACTATTGAAAACAATGCTGCAGTGAACATGGTGGTGCATCTATCTTTTCAAATTACTGTTTTTGTTTTCTTCAGATAAATATCCAGAAGTAAAACTGCTGGGTCATATGGTAGTTCTATATTTAATTTTTCGAGGAAACATCATACTGTTTTTCATAGTGGTGGCACCAATTAAGATTCCCACCAAAACTTTTTTTCCACATCCTCTCCAATATTTGTTATTTATTGATTTTTGATAATACCCATTCTGACAGATGTGAGATCCTGTGGTTTTCATTTGCATTTCCCTGATGATTAGTAACATTGAGCATCTTTTCACGACATGCTGGCAATCTGTATGTCTTCTTTGGAAAAATGCCTATTCAGATCTGCCCACTTTTTAAATCAGATTGCTTGTCTTTTGAATACTCAGTTGTATGAGTTCTTTATATATTTGGATATTAACCCCTTATTAGCTCTATAGTTTGCAAATATTTTCTCTCATTCAGTAGGTTGCCTTTTCATTTGGTTGGTGATGTCCTTTCCTGTGTAGAAGCTTTTTAGTTTGACATAATCCCACTTGGTTATTTTCTCTTTTGTTGTCTTTGCTTTGGAATCATATCTAAAAACTCATCATGAACTATATCCAGGAGCTTCATGCCTATGTTTTCTTCTAGGCGTTTTATGGTTTCAGGTCTTACATTCAAGTCCTTAAACCTTTTGAGTTAAGTTTAGTCTATAATGTAAGATAGTAGTCTAGTTTCATTATTTTGCATGTGGTTGCTCAGTTTTCCCAGCACCATTTATTGAAGAGACTGTCTTTCCCCATTGTATATTCTTGCCTTTTTTGTTGTAAATTAATTAACCATATATGTATGAATTTACTTCTGGGCTCTCTCATGTGGGCTCTGGGCTCTCACATAGATCATGTGGAGCTATGTGTCGTCTTTATGACAATAGCATACTGTTTTGATTATTACAGCTTTGTAATATAGTTGGAAGTCAAGGTGCATGATGCCTCCAGCTTTGTTCTTTCTCAATAATGCTTTGGTTATTCGGAGTCTTTCATGACTCCATACAAATATTAGGATTGTTCTAATCCAATGAAAAATGCTAACGGAGTTTTCTTAGGGATTGTATTGAATCTGCAGATTCCTTTGGGTAGTATGGCCATTTTAATAATATTCATTCTACCCCTCCATGAGTGTCAATTATCTTTCCATTTATTTGTGTCTTCAATTTCTTTAATCAATGTCTTTAGTTCAGTGTAGGGGTCTTTTACCTCCTTGGTTAAATTTATTCCTAGGTATTTTATTCTTTTGATGCAATTGTAAATGGGATTGTTTTCTTAAATTCTCTTTCTGATAGCTCATTAGTCATGTATAGATTTTTGTTTGTTGATTTTGTACCCTGTAACTTTACTGATTTTTTTTTTTCTGTTTGCTGTTTGCTGTTCTAACGGCAAACCTATGATACCTGATTTCATACCAGGCATGACATTGCAACAGTAAAAACTGCAAGACAATTTCAGCTCTTTGTTGATTACAAGGACATGATCAAGATCAAATTTGTGGCATTAGGATGACAATGTGGAACCTACCTTTACATTGCATCTGAGAAAGGATTACTGAGGTTGTAATTAGAAGGAGAATAGGAGAACAAATGAGTCAACTTATATTTTAGCAGAAATGTCTAAAATGTAAACAAAAATCTCAAATATGCAATGATAGTTTATATATAGTATGAAATTTTACTTGAGAAATATTCTTTGTTTATTAAATGAAAACGCTTGTTTGCCAAAGCCTAGGTCTGGAAGAGTACCAATCTCCAATTCCTCCACATTATAGGAGAGGCCAATAAGCCTAAAGGAATATGATAAGATTCACTTTGTGATCTTCATAGCACTTTCTTTCTTTCTTAGAAAGTGTGAGGCTTCATCTTCCTTTAGCTTTAAATCTGTTTAATAGATAGAAGATTGCACTCCAGGTATTAGATATGCCAATTTTTATAACTCTTTCTCAAGAAAAATATATTACCTTAGAAACAGTTATAGTAATAATTTTTAAATATCACTGCTATTGTAATTGGGAGTATAAAACAAATATGATTAAAATTTATCAGCAATGACTACAAAAATCACTTATTTGAGATTACATTTGGAATTTGCTTTCCTCATACTCTGTCCAAGTTCAGATCTCCAGTCTAGTGCAAACAGAAAATCTCAGGATAATGAGGTCTAAAAATTCTATGTAGAAATCAAGAGGCTAGAAACTTCCTGCCTAAATCTCAAAATGACACAGAAGAACACAGGTCTTTAAACACAGATACTAAGGACTACTGGTTTAAAGAAAAGGAGTTCTCTTCACATTCCATGTCTTTAAAAACAAAAGACTTTCAAATTATCCAGACCAGGCCACACCTGTGCAATCCAAATTCATATTTCTAACTGTCTACTCAACCTCTCCATTTGAATATCTCATAGATACTTTTAGCATCATCTTTCCTTCCACATACCTGTTCCTCCCCTTGTCTTCTGTTTCTCAGGAAATTACATCTGCATACGCTCAGTTCTGAGAACTTGATTCATTCTTGAGTCTTCTATTTCTCTAACTGAGCTCTACCCTGAATCAGACCTTGTGAGACCTCCACGTCTATCATTCCTGTGTGAGCCACCATTATATCTCACTTTGAATGTACAGTGCCCTAACTGCCTTGCAACTTCTATCTCCTCTCCCCCCATCCCCTGCCTACCTCAGGACTGCAATCCCAGCCAAACCCAAGCAGATGAGCTTTTCAAACCAAATGTTAAAAAAAAAAAAAAAAAAAAAAAAATCATTCATGTTCTCAAAGGCCCTCAGTAGTTTTCCATTTCACTCTATAAGAGCCTTCAGTGACTTACTAAATCCTATGTCATATGCCATTCTGAGCTCATTTTCTTTCTACCCTTCCTTTTTCTCATTCCATGATAGCTCCATTAGTCGTGGTGCTATTTCTTGAACAATCTTGACACACTACAGCTTTAAGGATTTCTGGTCCTTCCTTCTCTCTGGAATGCTATCCTCCCAGATAATGCCTTGGTGTCATTCCTCATCACACTCAGGCCCTTGTTCAAATATCACCCTCTTAATCACCCTGACTGACCCATAGTTCTGATCTTGGCTGACCCTAAATTCTGCATATTCTTTGTTCTATAATCAGTGTCACTACTGGTGTCACAACTTGTGTACTAGTTGGTTCTAAGTTTCTCATCTAAGTCTTTGCTCGGATAAATGGCATTCAGTCTCAGACTGTCTTACTCTCTCAATCTGACCAGCAACCATGCACTTCCTATTCTCAGAGGTAAGAGCATGTCACCAAGGTTCTGAAACAAATTCAGCATACCCATTTTGGAACAATGTTCCTGTTGCCTGAACTAGGACAAACATCTGATCATTGGAGAATTAAATGGCATAGGGAAACCCTAAGAAGGTGGGATTTAATGATATACAGAAGCATACAAAAAGTTAGGTAATGTGGAAAACATTAAATGCTGCTTAAAAAATTTGCTGGGTCATGGGGGGAATTGTGTTGCTAGAGGAGCTTTAAGAGGAGAAATAAATGTCTCCAAAGTACTGTATTCCTACATTATCTGTGAGAATTTCAAGTTAAAACTATAGCCATTTACTTCATTCAATAACTATACATGAGGCTAAACATAGCTACTACTTCTGGTGCTATTTTAAAAGAATACAGCAATAGAATTTTTTCTAATGATGTGTAGTATCTGGCAACATCAGTTTTGACTTTCAGCTGAATGTTTGGTACTCACCGCTTCCCAGTTGGGTAGAACCTAGAGCACGAATGGCCATCCCAGGCACAGTAAGGGTCCCTTGCCAGGCAACAGTCAGCACAGGCTGTACCATAGATGTGGCAGCGATGCAGAGACACTTGGGAAATCCCTTCATTGGAGCTCACATACAACTGTTGCTATTGGAGGAATGATTATGATTTAATTCAGATGCGGACGTTAAAAGAAGACTTTCAGCAGGAATGTATTATGTCTATACACCCTGAGATTCATTTCAAAATAGACTAAAAACAAGAAGCAAAGCACAGAGGGTATAAGCCAAAATAAATAGAATTTTCTTATGTTAATATGCCTATAATATTACCACTTTCCTGTTAAAAGAAAAAAAAAAAAACCTCAGGGCCCTGTGTAGAATGGTCATACATTTGAGACATTGGGATTTATTGTTCTCTCAAATTTGTGCTAATATGTTACAGATTTACATTATGATACTTGCTTTATTTTTTGAATGCACAAGGCAGCTTTCTTTTTCTTCAAATCTGGCAACCCATCACCTTGTAAATTTGAAAATGTCAAGTCTTAAATAAAGGGCATTTTTAAGTTTAGGGAAAAAAGTACACTGTATTAGATAAAATTAAAAAAAAATTTTTTTGCATGCCTTTGAAAGTGGCATATTACTCATTAGAGCAGCTTTTAAATTACTTAGAAGAATATCAGTATTTATATTTAGTCATGTCTTAAACTTGTTGTGTGATCCAGTGATCTTCAGCATCCCAAGTCATAAATAAAGATTTCCCTCTCCTTCATTTACAGGATGTCAAGAACTTCTTAGGATACTGCTCCAGTTCTTTGTTCTCAGGAGTTGAAAGGGTAAGTTTCTAACTGATGCTTATTTTCTAAAGAAGTAATATTGTATGATTCAAATTAGCAGAGAATCTTTAAGCTGGAACTCAAATATATTCACATGTGCAACACACACAAAGATATCTATACATATTCACCTACATGCAATTTAAAATTTGTAAATCAGTAGGAACACCATTGGTCTGGCTCTGGAGGCAGACTTCTAGGATTCAAATCCCAGCTCAACCACAACCATGCTATGCAACTTTTCTGAATCTCAGGACATTCTTGGGTAAAACTGGGATAATACAGTACCTATCCTATAGAGTTATGTTAAGAACTAAATGTAGGGGCTAACTCCACATGAAATACTTAGAATAGTTTCTGATTCCTAAGAGCTCAATGAATAATGAATGAATAATGTAGTAGAGAAAATTACCAGTTAACAAACTATCAACTTATACATTGTCAATTCTAATTAATCATTGAATCACACCTCAGTCTATTGTCTAATAAAAAATCATTTTATTCAGATTAATTAATTTTGCAGAAATTGGGCTGGAAATGACAGATCCTCAGTTGAGACAAACTGTATGAAAACAATGGCATATTTTGACAATAACCATTTCTCTAAGAACATTTCAAATAAGTGTTTATTGAGTACATTAATAAATAATATAATAAAAGCATCAGCTATGCTAAATTAAGGAAACTGCTTTATTTAAGGAAAGAATACAAGTAGTTTCATTCTAGAAATTATCTTTTTAAAAAAATTAATCCAGCTATTTTCTGCTGTATGGAATGCAAGAATAAATTAGAGAATAAAGAAGCATAAAATAGAAAATAAATAATTTGAAGACTAGGGAAGGCACTAAATTCATAGTGCTTAAATGTACATAAAAATACCATTGGCAATTTGTACTTCTTTCTCACTGAAAAAATAATGAGGTATGCAGATGTGCAAATGAGTTCCCCAAAACTGAAATAATTATCCTGCCCTAAATCTAATGATTGAAAGAAACATTTTTTAATTATCTACAATATAAGATGTTGAAGACAGATTTAATACTCATTTTTTCCCATGTGTGTATGTGTACTGCATATTGCAACTTAATGGAATGGATTGTGAACTATGAATCTACCGGCTGAATTACAGCCTGAATAGTAACGTGTGTCACTGTAACTGTGTACTGGGCTACTCGGCCACACAAACGGCCCTGTGTCCATTTTGAATTTTGCTCTGATACTTTCTCTTTTCATTAAACTACTGTAAACAAGGGGCTTCCTCCTGACTTCAAAGACAATTCTGACTTGGGATCAGCTCCCTGGGACATTGGAGAAAATGACGAATGGCTTCTTGTTATTTGGGAAAATGTTTGTTATGCACTATGCAAAACATTTTTACAGATGAGATCTTTAGCTCTATGGTACCCTATTTATTTTTCTTCATAAAATTGCGTCAAGTGAAAAGAGTACAGGACTGACTGTGGAATATTCCTTCATCTGTAACAGACCAAATAAGGTAAAGAACACTAACTTTATGTCATCAGTTGTGCTAATACTTAAAACCTTTATTCCATATTCCAAGAAAAATAAGTCTCAGGCTCTTTAAACAGCAGTTATGAAGGACCTGCTTTATTTTAGGCAATTTATATAAATTAACTCTTTTGTGAGAAAAGCATTACCGTATAGAGGCAGAAACTTAGGTCAGTGAAGTTTAACATCTTACTCATAATTTATGGATAAGTTGGGATTCAAATGCACGTCCATTGTGCTCTGAAGCCTACTCCATTTCTGGCTATATGACTCCACCCTTTAGAACTTTCTTCCAGAGAGAACGCCTTGGGGGCTGGAGAGGTGTACACGTTGCATAGGCAGAGACTGGGATAGGGCTTTTCCTTTTTTTTTCTGATCATTGTGTATTTGCATGTGCAGGCATGAATTAGAAGATGAAACATTTCTGATAATCATAGCCAAACATTTCTTCCCTCAAACCCAAATCCTTATATGGTTTAGAACTGAGAATTCAGATTTTTTAAATGACACATATAAACTCTAAAAAATAGCACTTCTTTAGCAATAAGCATAAAAGAATGCATTGCACATTTCAAACAAGTGATAGTAGCAGGAACTCGGAAGAGGACTGATTACTCATTCCAAGCCCCTGAGAATGTGATGCTATAGTAGCCCAAACATTATACCAAAGTCTTCATTCAAAAGATTATTTTTATTTTGGTTGGCTTCACACACTGTAATATTTGAGAATACAGGATATATAGGATATACAAAATGTTGGCATATCTTGCAGTATATATGTTCTGCTCTCCTGGGCTTTTATACAAAATAGACCTATTTTGTCTTCCATTCATAGCCTGTCAACTATGCATCAAAATTAAAGGTGATTTTTGTGGTTATTGTAAATAATAATTATTTTTCTAATACTAATATTAATTTTTCTAAAATTACAGAATATATTTTCACAAGAGTAAAATTTTTAATACGTAAAGAAAATAAAAATGGAGTTGTTTTACCTTCTTGGATGAGATTTTCATTGTTGTTATAGGAACACGATTCTGAAAAATTAAAAAAAAATTGTTAGCTGCTCAAATAATCCTTTAAAAAGATTTGCATTAAAGATATTCTCATGTCTGTTAAAATTCAAGACATCATCATTTCTCTACACATGTACATATACTCAAAGTTTAGCAATAGTTGTCTCTAAAGTACACTTCCTCTGTTGTGCTAACAAATATATGATTAAATATATATATTTTACAAATATATGATTAAATTTAAAAAAAGTAGCAATTATAACACATCATCAAATATAATCTTAACAAAATCTGAGAAATTTGGAAGAATTAAAAAATTCTATCTTGGAATACTGAATGCAATGAATAAAACTTAGGCTTGGATGGGGGTAGATAAGATGCTGTGGAATGGCACCTCATGTTCTTCCCCCACAACTCAAGCGTCTACATAAGAAACTACCATGTTGCTTTGGAAAGACATATTAGCCTGGATCATACTTATTAATTCTCCTGTGGCAAACAAAGAAATACTGCTAGAAAAAAAATAAAAATCTTATAACTTTGAAAAAAAAAAAAAGGAAAAAAGAAATAGAAAATGTTCTCTTTTGATAAATGTGAGTTAATGAAAGCACCTAAGGATTTTCTGAAATAGTAATCCTTTTAAAAAAATTTTTTTTATTTAATTATTTTATTTATTTGACAGACTGCGATCACAAGTAGGCAGAGAGGCGGGCAGAGAGAGGGGGAAGCAGGCTCCCTGCTGAGCAGAGAGCCCGATGCGGGGCTCGATCCCAGGATCCTGAGATCATGACCTGAGCCAAAGGCAGAGGCTTAACCCCCTGAGCCACCCAGGCGCCCCAGTAATCCTTTTTGAAAGTGACTCTATTCATAGAGTTTACTTCTTAAACATTATGAGTTCCTTTTAAAAACTAGACTCATGATAACCTGATAATCATCTGTGAAGTTTTATTTGAAAAATGCAAGTGAGAGCAAGCTCTCAAAATTAACGGTAACTACAATTATTTCACGTTCTGAAATAATTTTAAGTGTGTGTTCTTACACACGTTTAAAAGAAAAAAATGGTGATATTATTAGATTAGCTTAATCTAAACACTCAATTGCAACAGGTTTTGATCACAGCTTAGAAATACACATACGCATACAAAAAAGGTATTGCAATTTATATCCATCCAGGCAACTACTAATAGCTGTACCACCAATTCAAGTTAAGTTTGAGGAAGCTGGATGTATTTTCCGGAAATATTCTGAATAGAGGATTAAAAGAGATTATGGTTCTGCACTCTATAAAAACAAAGAGTCTGGTTTTTTTAAGGTTACATTGAGTTTGAGTTTTCTGCAGTGTATCAGTGTGACACTCCGCTTAGGAATTTGTTTCCATTCAAATGCATTATTTCCTCACGTGCTAATCACAGTATATCATACACACCCAGTTATTTTTACCTCACCTCAGAAAATATGACACAAACATTGCTGAAGACAATAAATAACTGTATTTGGTAACTGTGTCTCTCAATTTGGCCGTATCAGTCACTGGCACACACGTCCACAAGAAAGTTCAAACTTTTTTAGTCTCTCTCTTGGGCTGATGTCCCCCACGTGCGTTTTGACTGACTCAGTTTTTCCACTGAGAGTTTATTCTTCATAATGATAACACCAGCACAACTCATATAACACACCATAAGTAGTTAGCACATGATCAGAATGATTCCCATTTCTTTAAGAGCTTTCCATAACTTACATGTTTGGGTTTGTGTCAAACTCACTTAATGTTTTCTGATTATCAAAAAATTATATTTCAGAATTAAAAATGAAGGTCTGCCATATGGCATTTTTTGCTCTCTTCAAGCAAATTCCAGAATGAGGTACTTTATGTTATTTTGGCTAGCCAAGTTGTCTGTATTGAACTGAATGAGGAAAAAATATTTTATACATAATGCACTTTTGGTTAATCTAATGAAACAATCAATTCCTTTATAAAGCAAGGCATAGAAAAAAAGCACTTGAATGTACCTAGGTAACATTTTGTAAGCACAATATTAACACACTAATCACAAAGAACCTTATGCCAAAGTGAGTCTAGCATTTAAAATTATAAATTCAACAAGATACTGGAAAATTTTCCAGAGTTCCTCAGATTTCATTTGGTTATTTTAAAAAAATATTTCTTTACATTTAAAATGAATTAGCATAATCTAAACAAGTCATCTTGATCATTTATATGCTTATAAATTCAATAATTTTGGTGACTATGGGAACATGTATTAATAAGTCAATATATTCTGAGTTCACTCGGCTAAGCAAAGCAACTCACTAAACCAGCAACAGTCTGCTCCTGGGAGGCCTGAAGTGCTAACTTCACTCAGTTAAAGGCTGACTCTGGTCTTTGGATATCCATGGACCGTTTGTTTGTTTTGGTTTGTTGTTGTTTATCATGTTACATCATAAACTTAAATCTTCAATCCAGCTAGATTTAGAGGGGATTAAGGAAAATATGAACCCACAGAACTGCAATGAGAGCACAGAAATTATAGGATATTTTGAGCAGATGTTGGTGAAGGGGTGCTCACTTAAGCTACAGAAGGAATGGCCTAGTAGTTTAGATAAAACAGGAGTCAAATTTATTAGATTTATCCACAGTCGGCAATGGCGATCTTCTTGTTAGTCTCGCCATTCTTGGACCCAAAGCTCTTCTTCCATAATATTCCTGCCCTCCCTCACCTTGCCAAAGACCACATGCTTGCCATCCAACTACTCAGTCTTGGCAGTGCTCATGAAAACTGGAAACCGTTTGTGTTGGGTCCAGCATTTGCCATAGACGAGGTGCCAGGACCCATGGGCTTCAGATGAAATTCTCATCATCAGCTTTCTCCCCATTGATCGACTTGCAGCCAGTGCCACGATGGCCCATGAAATCACTACCCTGGCCCTGAAATCTGGGAAAAATCCTGTAAAGCAGGGATGTTTATTACTAAATCTTTTCTCCCTAGCGCTCAGAGCACGAAAGTTCTCTGCTGTCTTTGGAATTTCGCAAACAGCTTGAAGGAGACAAACCCCAGGGTTCACCGTCCAAGGTGATGTCAAAGACCCAGGGGTGTTGACCAAGGGCGGGCAGTGCTGGCGGCTCTGGGGCGGTGGCGTCTGTGCGTGGGCCGTTTCTTCTTGATTGATTTAGTTGGAAATAGTACTCTGCAATAGGATTGATTCCATGCCAAAGTATCTTTGCAATCCTAACAGCTTCTCTGGCTGTGTTTTATCCATCTTTCCAAATGTTTATCAGAGAAATCACCTGAACTACAATGGCTTACATCTTAAGGAGAGAAAGGACACCACAGATCTGCTCTCCCAAGTCACACATCCAGAAAGAATAAGCACTCTGCCCAGAGCAGGTGATGCCTTACAGGACTGAACTTTCCACTGTGTGCCTTTTTGTTGATGTCGTGTATTGTTTTTCTTTCTTCTTCTTTTTGTTAAGCCGAAATTTAAGAACAAAGAGAGTAATAATGAAATCTCAAGTTCAGCAGAACATGAAGCTTTGAGCAGTAAAGAGACATTTGTTTTATGTAACTTGAATGTCATTTGAGTTGAAAGCCATAAAATAAGAGCAAACAAAGCAGTTTTTCTTAAAATTCCTGGATTAGAAAAAATATATGAGAAAGTTTATCTAACAATCAATAATGTAAGGCACTTGGATTTCAGTGGCTTGTGAAGCAAATGATAAAAGCCCTTGCTGGCAAATCTTTTCGACCTTGACCACAAGAACTCATTTATAAAAATAATGATGACCAAAATTCTTTGAGTTGTGATAATAGTTGAAAAAGCGAATCTTTTAATGTTAAGATAACTTGAAATGCAAAAAAAAAAAAAAAAGAAGACTTCAGAAAAATATTTGTTCTGTATTTCTTAGTTTATCTGGTGTTTCCTACCCTCAAAAACTTATGATATTTATTTGATCCTTTATCAAATATTTTTTTTCCTCCCAAGTGGCTCTAAGATGAAAGAATTCCATCCATCATGCATGTACTGAGATTAACAGAAGAGATGCTCAAACCTTAAAGACTTCCAGCTCCTCCAGAATGAGCTCACCCCTGGCAGAGCTGTTAGAGGGAAGAACCACCACCTTCTGCACAGTGCCTCGATCTAAACCAAAGGAAAACAAAACAAAACAATGAGATGCGGGAAAGAGACATTTAAACGTAAGACCACTGACTTAGCATTTAGAATATTATTTATGTAATTACTGAGTCATCAAAAAGAGGCTGTATATATTGAGCCATCCAAACAAATCTCATTTGTGTAAATGGATATTGAAATTAATTCAAAATGAACCAATATGAACATCTGATATTCTGTACGTATTTGGTATAGTCATAGCTATGAGAGAAGAAGAGAATGCTCAAATGCCTTATTAAATCAAAAGTTCTATTTCTGAACCAAGTGTGTGTTTTTCAAATATTAATACATAATTTTAAGTTTGGCCTTTAAGAATATTACTTAAATCTCTTATATGACTTTATAAACTTTATAAAATGACACTCCCATGTTTTGTTAACCTTGACACATAATGATTTATCTGAGAAAAAAGATTATTACAAATGAGTTATTATGATAATCATATTATGAACAATAGTCCTAGAAATTTACATTTAATCTGTAGTTGTGAGATATTTCAGACACAGTAAAAACGTTTTACTCACAATTCAAAATAATTTTCAGAGCAGAAACGTAACTGTGGTCTCATATCAGATGTGGACATGTATTCATAGAATAATTCTACTATTTTCACACATACACACATTCGGGAAATGTTTTTTGGATATTCTTAAAAATCAGGGGAAAATGTGAAATTAGATTGTCCAAATAACCTTAAGCAAATAAAAAATTTACTCATAGTCCCAATGAGATTGCCAAAAATAGACATGCTCAATAAATGTAATACATGCAGAAAGTGTTACTTATGTCAATATTTTTAATTAAGATAGTTTCATATATCACATATAATTTTCTACTTCTAGGCATAAAATTTTGCCACACTATCAATTACATACATTTTAGGTTTAAAGGAAACTAGTTGAGATTCAGCGATGTGGGGTTAAAGCAAATTTGTAAATTATTTGATAAAGTAAGAATATATTTCTTCACCAAAATATGTTTCTATTATAATAATTAATGAGCTCTAGCTTAAGTATCAAGTCATTATTTTTAACTATGAGCGTGTAACTATGGGTATATAACTTGGAAAGATGAATTACCATCAACAGATATTGGAACATTTTTTAAATTCTGTTGAGAAACGTCAATAAGAGTTCATTTGAGGGGCACCTGGGTGGCTCAGTCAGTTAAGCAATGGACTCTTGATTTCAGGTCATGATCTCGGGGTCCTGAGATGAAGCCCCAATCAGCTCTCCACCATGGACATGGATCCTGCTTGCAATTCTCTCCCAGAAAGAGTTCATTTGAACTGAGTCCTACAAGGCTAAATTTACAGCTAGGAGCCATTTTGCGATAAACACCATATAATTTCCAAATCCCACATCTGAAACTGGCCTGTATTCCATAAGCAGAAATATCTCTGACATAAAAGATCCCATTTGAGGGGACCCTGGGTGGTTTAGTCAGTTAAGCAACAGATGCTTGATTTCTCCTCAGGTCATGATCTCGTGGTCCTGAGATGGAGTCCCACTCAGGTTCTATGGTGGTCATTAAGACTTCTTAGGATTCTCTCATCCTTTCCCCCTGTCCCTACCCCCTACCCCTCTCAATCACTCTAAAAACAAAACAAAACAAAACAAAACATAAAAAACCTATTTCACATTTACATTTTCTATCTTAGGAGCCTAATTGAAAGATTCAAAATAATTACTTTTTTTTTTTAAAGTAACTTCTATACCCAACATGGGGCTCAAACTCACAACCCCAAGATCAAGAGTCAGATGCTCTACTGACTGAGCCAGTCAGGTGTCGCTCAAAATAATTCTTAATATAAAAAATAAACTCTACTTTAAAGTGTTACCAGCTAAAAAATTAAAACCCACTATAATAAAATGTACAGAAGAACAAGATATAGGGATTTTGCCAGAACAACCCCTGAACCCTGTAAGAATACAAATTATGTGCGCCTGATCTTAGAAGTTTCAAACTATATTCCGTAATTTAAAATTCATTCCTTATGCCATATTCAAAGATAAATAAAAATCTCAAAGCCTTGAAAGCTCTAGGTATAATTAAAACACTTTGAAATTTCTCTGTTTTACTGATCAGCTTCCTTAGAATCAGCCCTGGTAACAATTTGTACTATTTTTCTTGGAAGATAGGTAATGCATGTATAAATTTGAAGGGAAAACACATTTGGGGATCTTGTGCAGAGACATGTCACAATTAAAATGGATGAATGTGGTTGCAGGTGTCCCCCAGCTACTATTAACAATTCATCACCAAGAACCTTGGAAACTTCTGAGGGAATAAAATATACCAAAATCCCTAAAATGAAAGCTTTTAAATTATAATAGCTAGGGCAGGATTTGTGTAGTATTGTGTATGTGTGTGTGAGTGCATCCATGTGTAGTGTGTGTAAGAGACAGAGTGTGTATAAAGAATGAGCGTTTAAAACCATCCTTATTTTAGGTCATAAACATTATACTCTTTTCTTTTTTTTTAAGAGGTCACAACAGAGTTTTATGGTTCCTTGCTGCAGTTTGTAAGGATCATTGTCATTCTCTGTGACAGCAGTGACCCTCTTCCTTGAGCAAAGACTGAGCAGAAACTGTATATAACCATAGTCCCAGATAAAACTGCAAGAAAGGGAATCTTGACTACAGGGATTCCTAAAGATAAAACAATCAGCTTTGAGACAAATTAAGTATTCTCAAATGAGATAACTGGCTCCTGTTTTTAATCTAAGGTTTTAACTTAACTATGTGAGCAATATTTTACACAAATCATCATTTCTTTTGAAAGAAGCCACAACAAACACACTTTATGCATGCCATTTATAAAATATTACCCCAAATGCAGCTATAAAAATGGGCTAATAAAAAGATAATGAAATATTTGTTTTTGACTCATTTGCAATAAAAGCAAAAACACCACTTTTATATATTGCTTGTCTTCCTATTCGAGTTATTTTTTGTTTTGCTGGTAATGATGAGTAGATTCCCTTTTATTTTATGACCCTTAAAGTTAAAAATATATTCTTATACCAAGTAAAACTGAATGTCAATTTATCTGAAACTCTTGCAAAAATATAAGTAACTTTAAGTATTGGTAACATTTCTAGTTGAAAATCAAGTTTAAATAAATCATAGAAATGCAAGATCCCCAGAGAGAAACCCATAATTATTGAATGCCTACTATGTGCCTAGTTCTATCATAAAAATGTATTATTTAATTCTGACTTTCAAGAAAATAGATATCCATTTTAATCCCTTTACTTTTCCACGTGTAGGCATGGACTGGTACTTTATGAGCTAGTATTTCTGCAGAGTTCTTCGTTATGCTGGTTCAATTTTCATCAGTGTATTACAAATGAATATATTTGTTCTTTTTAGAATTCCACATATTAAAGTTTTTATATGAATAAATTAGAATAGTCATTCAAATGTATGGATTCAAATATGAATATAATAGTTTTAAATCTTTGTGGCATTGTTAGTCATCAATTTTAACAATGGTTAATTTAGGTTTTATGAGACCTTGAATTCATGTAATTTGGGAAGGCTTTTTTTAGGGAAAATAATTCATAAATACAAAAACAGAGTTGTGTCTTCCCCAAACAATTGCAAATGAGGAACTCTCAATTTTGTGCTAAGTCCACCTCTAATAATTAGACTAGTTTCCTGAAAAAAAAAAAAGGAAAGAAAATTGTTTATAAAACTGGACAACATATTCTTTATATTGAAGAATCTCTATTGAACAAAATCTCATCTATAATATCACTACAATTTTATTGTCCAAGACCATCTTTCACAAGTCAGCAAAAGGTTGAAAAATGTCTTCTTCAGTTAAATCTACCTCTCTGTTGCTTTTATTGATTGGTCTTTCTTCTATAGCTATGAAGAATATACTCGATCTTCTTTTTACGTCCCTCTATATTTATCTTTATAATCTCTTCTTCTGGTCTAAGCATCAGCACTGTCTTCAAGTATATTTATTAAAATTCAAAACCAAACCTTTCTGCCTGCCTGTCCCTGGACACTGCACAGTTTGGCATTATCCTATTTAAAATGTGAACAGAACTGTAGATGGTTATGCTGTTATTTTACCAAATGACAGACCTCACTGAAACTGGACTATTTAAAAGGCACAGCAATAGTTCTAGGTAGTTGACCTCATACATGTCAGAATGGCTAAAATCAAAAACACAAGAAACAAGTGTTGGCAAGCACATGGAAAAAAACAAACCCTCGTGCAGTTGGCAGGAATGCAAACTGGTGCAGTCACTGTGGAAAATAGTAGGGAGGATTCCCAAAAAGTTAAAAATAAAACCACCCTATGATCCAGCAATCACATTACTGGGCATTTATCCAAAAAATACAAAAACACTAATTCAAAGAGATACATGCACCCCTGTGTTTATTACAGCATTATTTATAATAGCCAAATTATGGAAGCAGCCCAAGTGTCTATCCACTGATGAATGGATAAAGATGAGGTGGTGTGTATATACAATGGAATATTATTCAGCCATAAAAGGGAATGAAATCTTGCCATGTGCGACCACATAGATGGAGCTAGAGAGTATAACGCTAAGCAAAACAAGTCAGTCAAAGACAAATACCGCATGATTTCACTCATATGGGGAATTTAAGAAACAAAACAAATGAGCAAAGGGGGAAAAAAAAGAGAGAGGCAAACCAAAAAAACAAACTCTTAATTATAGAGAACAAACTGATGGTTACCAGAGGAGAGATGGGTACAGGGATGGTTGAAAGAGGGGATGGGAATTAAAGAGCATACTTATCATGATGAGCACTACTCTGAGTAATGCACAGAATTACTGAATACTATACTATATTGTACATCTGGGGCTAATATAACCCTGTATGTTAACTATGCCGGAGTTAACATTAAAAGCTTAGTGAAAAAATATAGTTCTAGTAATAGATCAACCACTTAGGTGATTGGTCAGGATCTCTAGTCCT